GATGCTGTTAACGCTGAAAAATATATTTGCTTGTGATTATTTAATATGTAATCATTCCAAGAAAGGATTATTTGAGAGATTTTTTAAATGTTAGAAACTTTGGAAACGTTTATCTCAAATGTCATAACCCAGCTCAACCGCTCCCTTTCATAAAGTGGTTTTCATTTCAAAGGTCGGAATCCTTCCAAATCTGCGGCAATATTGAAAGGCAAGCTTAAACAGTTTGATAGGCCTGTCTGGCGCAACTACATTTAAATCCTATAAGTTAAGTCTGTGGCCGAACTGAACCACATGACTCATCTCTCGACATTTCATTGGTAAACGCACATTAAATTATGAAGTATGTAATTTAACTATCCATTCATGTACGTAGTCTTTTCTTATCCCTATCCGCTTCTTGTTTGATGCGGTTTGCACGAGCACTTGGTCAAAAACTATCCAAAGTGTCCTTACTTTGCCTAAATTAGAAAGCTTATGATAGGAGATATCACCTTTTCATCGATTCGTGTATGATTAACACCATCAAAATTCAACTGTAGTTAAGTTCCTGCACTCACACTCCTTCAAACTGCCCCTTCAAAGTAGTAAGAAGAGGTACAGTATTTAAAAACAGAAAATAATCATTCAACTACAGTTTACACGCCTACCATTCGAAAACGTAAACAATATTGGAAAACACAAACAAATCATATCAACTTCAAATATTAAATTGTACTTACAATTATATAGAGATTCCATGTGCAACTTTCTGTAAAATAACTCGACAATTACAAACTTTCCAACACTAGAATAGTGGACAGTAAATCAAAAGTGTGAATGTTTTTACAACGGGTAGTAGTCTAATTGCAGCTCCCCTCCCCCCCCCCCACAACGCTCGCCTCCCTTTAAACTTGGCCTCGCGTTTGTTTTGGTTTTTACGTCCCTCGCGCTCGCGATCGCGCTATTCGTTGTTCATTCCCCAAGCAAAGCGAGTAAATCCTTCGCGGAACTGCCAATAACGTGGGATTTCAGTTAAAAAATTCACAAACACCGACCCACTCTTTCTGTAGACTGGATTATCACCGCTTTACGGTAGCATTTCTGTTCAGCATTTGGCATTGGCATTGGCTATACGACCAAGCATAATGCGATCAATAAATAATATTAGTTCTTCATATTTTACAAATTTAGATTGTATATTGTATAACTGTTATCGTATAACGCTGATAGATGGGTCATAGAATGGCCAGAAAATATGTTGAGTGAAATGTGCCTGTGAGCCTGTGTGTTTACAAAAAAATACTCTTCGTACCCTAGATTGTATCATTGATTTGAGTTAAAACATTTTCTACTCATTATGTGATTAATTTATCCCAACCAACACAATATAGAATAAAATGTGAATGTGGAATGAATGCGATATCAGCTTTGTTACAGACGAATTATCACGAATAAAGAGTCGGTGTTAGGTAAAGCAGCCTGACATAAAGGCAAAACCTATTTTTCACGTGACCTCAATGTCATTATTGATTGTATAGCTAGCTACCCTATAGCGTGTGTTGTTTTTTTCCTGTTGACTGTTTTTGTTCGTGCTGTGCAATTCAGTTATTTTTATAGAAGTAATGGTGGATGTGTAACTATTTCAATGTGAATTTGAACCATCTCCTATACTAGCTGAATTCCTTGCGAAGCACGGTATCGTCATTCCTGACTAGATAAGACCAGCTGATTCTATAGCCAGTTGAATTTTTTTTTGCCATCCCAATGGTCAAGGACGCCCGGGTCCTGTTTCAAGCCATCAAAAAACTACTAACTTCTTGATAACCGGAACCGACAACCTTCTAATTTCTAATTGATTCAATTACAGTCCAACCATACAGCTATCTAGCTACTGTACACTATTTTAGTATGTTTCAGAATTAACTAGATTTTTGTTGTACGAACTTTCAAGACCAGCGTGTATAGTACAGCATGTTCGATAGTGTGTCAGGGGTCCGTGGGTCCGTACACCGATCCAGACGGCGAACCAGACATCAGGCCGAGCAGGGAGACGAGCGCTCAGGGGCCCATTTCATAATCAACTACAAACTAATATTATTAGTAAATCAGCTGATCGTCCAATGCAAATCTAATGGAAATTACAAGTTACAAGTTGTAACTTGTAACTTGTAGTTTATTATCATGAAATGGGCCCCTGGAGGCGGTTTTTTGGGGAAAGATCAAAGAAAAGATCGGTCCGATGTACGGAATGTCAATGATGTACGATAGTGTGTCACGGTATATTTTTGTCCCGTACGTTGTCGCGAGCGCCGCACCGAACGGCCGGCTGCGTTTAGCGTTGATAGTTCCTAATTTAATGTGGAAAGTAAACTCTTGTATTGGAAAAATACAATTTTTTTGGTAATATGGTAATATTTTGCCGTTATATGTTACCAGCACTATTGATTGGTTAAGCTGAAATAGAACAAAACAAGACAGAGTACACTAGGGCCTAATACAAACAAATAATCACACCTGGGTTTAATAAGGTAATCAATTGAAAGAATAACAAACAAATTAGTACAACTGAGGTATTTTTAACATTAGGTATATGGAAAGTTCCCTTTGGAAAACAATTACGACCTTACAGGGCAATTTATGAAATAAAGGATAGTTTTGGGCGAGGTTTCCCGTCATGACGAACATTTTAAGTACCTATATGGTTTATGGGGGTGTGATTTGTAGTTTTCTCAAAAGTTCATGGGTACTTTGGGCTTTATATATGGATGGATGGGCGTTTATATTGTAATTTTGTGGTTTGTTTGGTCAAGGTTAAAAATGTATTTTAGAAGTTGAAACACTTGAAACCAATCAATTATATCAATAATGTTAAACTTAATAATGTTAAACTTCCCCCTGCGGGATCTTGATCGGGGAAAAGATCGATAGTGTGTCACCGTCTTTTTACAGGTTTATTATTTTAGACTAACGTACCGTCGTATTTTTCTTTTTTTGTTTAAAATAGGACAGCAGGTTCCTATAGATAGAATGTCTACTTCGTATACCTACCAAAGTCAATGGTGCAAAACGTATACACGACGTTCAAGATCCAGAAACGAAACATGACATAAAACCTGTAAACCCTGCTGTTCGTCTATGTTCTGACATTCCATTGTCAGTATAGTCACGCTGAGAATGTATTGATTGCAGCCTGGATGCAAACTGCAGCTGCAGCACAGTGCATTGGCCAGTACTGATCACATATTGATGGTCTAAACCCCACACACCACTTAGTTTGATTACTAATTTCCATCGTAATCCGCCGATGATACCAAACCCAGCTTAGGTTTTGTTATTTTATGGTAGAAAAGGCATTTCACGGATTTACGTAATTCTATAAAACAAATCAGTCTAACATATTTTTTCTAAAAAATATATTGCGAATAGGAAGTTTGTTGACGAATCGAATTTCTTAAACTTTCTTGTACAAATAATATTTACACATGTTTGTTTAGGTACTAAAAGGCAAGTACAGTTAACTAAACAATACGTCATAAAATTTTCAATGCACGTATTCTGTGTAGACGGAAGTTTATAGGTTTGCTATTTCAGCAAAGATCACACAAACACAAACCGGTAATTTTTTCAAAAATATACTTATAAATTCCTTCCGCATCAGAGAACTATATAATAATATATTGGAGAGTCTCAAAACTTAAAATCAGTTTTAACGGAATAACTATTTCTAACAACCATGTCAGAGTTCAATATTTTGGGATGAGAAAGGAACTGATTAGGTCAGTTTTATTAATTTGATTTTCTACACCAAGTTAGATGGGACAAATAGAGTGAAAAAGTCTTATCTCTGTCTTGGTTGATTGCCCAATAACAGACAAATGCTACACAAACTGATTAATTATGAGGCGAAGTTTTGCTACACAATTATAATTATAATACATAATTATAATTTAGTAGGTATAATAGAAAAATTTGATTGTTCGCCAACAATCACAGTAAGCGGCTTTCGCTGTTTGGTACCACATTTTTTAGTTTAACCATAGATTAAGCATAAGGTATGCTTACAGTAATCTATGTTTTAACTTTCTACTCCAGCCAGGAAACAATATTTGTAATTAAAGTTTTTCCATCGGCAGAGAGACATCGTTGCCACCGAGTTTATGTTTATACCTTTTTGTGGTGGTTGGGCGGGGGTTGAGGGTTCATAAATGATTCAGGCGTCCGTCCATCTGTCTACCTAACCCCATAAAATGTTAGGGTTATGCTAATAATTTATTGGTGAAGCCGCCGCCCGCGATGCGACATTCCCACAACTATAAACTCTTTGGTCAGCTCTATGGACTATGGACCGAAAACGGCCGTGCATAGCTGAGAATTCAGACGTTTCTATGTAACATCCCTTTTCACCCGTCTTACCACGTTTTTGCGATTGATGTGTCATTATTAAACTCATGATCTAGCGCACCTGCGAATGGTAGGTAAACCTCCGTAGCCTTTAATTTTATTCGCTTTCAAAAGTCATTAGCATTTTGATGGTACAAAACCGGACCTAGCTGTTCCTGATCATTGGGTTAAAAATGATCCTGACTGATGTACCAGTTGATCTTAGTCCTTAGTCAGACAGTAACACAGCTACATGGATCAATCTCACACCATTCAATCATTCTAACTCATTCTTTACTCATATTTTGCTTCATATATCCTACGCACCTAGGTAAAAAAATATTTATAATTGATTTATAAAAGCTCAACACGTTAAGCGCGCGGGGCGGGAAATCCCGACTCGCGGTAGTGGCACCACTGGGACCGGGCGGGAAATGTCGGCCCCCTCCCATGCCAAAGACCTTGCTTTTGCTTCTGCTCAGCTTCGTGAGTGAGCTTGTTGTGTCCGATTGCCGCGTTTTGTACCTGCTTTCTGCAACATCTCCGTTGTAAATAGGAGAGCTTCCAGCTTCGTTTCCGTGTCGACCACTCCGTTCTTTGCCGGTGCTTCGTGTTTGTGTCTGTCTACAGTATTGTGCGGAATGGATGAACACCGTGCCAGTGAATTAGTTGAACACGCGTATTCTGAGAATGAGGAAGAATCTGAATCCAGTTGTGGGAGTTCAGACGAGGATGACGCCGACATTACCACCCCTCAATGGTCGGCCTCCCCTGGCGTCATGGGCAGATTACGGGACATTCCGTTTACAGGTGAACCTGGTCTTCGTGTGCCTATACCAGGCAATAATAAGCCAATTGATTGGTTCCGTTTATTATCAGATGTTGTATTCCTACAGAATATTGTGGCTGAAACTAACAAGTATGCACTAGAATTTTTGTGTGCCCCAAATACTAAGCCCAAATCTCGCATCACAAAATGGAAAGACTTGGTTCTTGACGAACTAATGATCTTTTTAGGCCTACTAATGCATACCGGAACTATTAGAATGAATCGATTGCAGGACTATTGGAAAACACATAGGTTGTTTAGTCCGACAAGTAGTGTTTTCAGCCAGTATATGACACGAGACAGATTCCAAATCATCCTAAGGTGCTTAAATTTTTCCGGGGTTGGAACAACGGACACCCCGGAACCTGTTGAACAAAGGGCCTTCAAAATCAATCCTATTGTCGACTACTTCAACAATAAGATGAGGGAAATCTATTATCCTGGTCGAGAGCTAACCATGGACGAGGAAATGGTACTGTGGCGTGGCCGTTTAGCATTTCGGCAGTACGTACAAGGAAAACGCCACAAGTACGGGATAAAGATATATTCATTGAACGAACCAGGAGGACTCATACTTCGTTTACACGTGTACACAGGGAAAGCTGATAATGTTGCGGGAAAAGGCCATACAGCGAATGTAGTCATGAAACTCATGAAAGATTTCCTCGGCAAAGGTCACTCATTGTTTATGGACAATTTCTATAATAGTTTCATCCTCTCATCTAAACTCCTGCGACGGCTAACCTACACCACAGGCACTCTGTGTGCTGATAGGAAGCACACCCCCGTAGATGTCAAGTCGGCCACATTGTCTAAAGGTGAAACTATCACTCGCTATGCGGAGGGCATCATGATCGGCAAATGGAAAGACAAGCGTGCTGTAACATACATTTCCTCACAATTTGACAACCAGATGGCGACAACTACCAACACACGGAGCCAGCAGAGAGTCATGCCTAAACCGTTGATACAATACAATGCTCACATGAAGGGAACAGACCGCCTAGACCAGATTATGTCGTACTATCCCGGCGAACTGAAAACGTTTCGTTGGCATAAAAAGATATTTGTGCACTTTCTCCAGGTGATCATGACAAATGCGTTTATTTTATACAACAAGCATAACTCTGGCAATCGACTGAGCCTGTACGATTTCCGTTTGGAAGTGATTGAACAACTATTGCCCCCAAAACCCGCCCCACTGATGGTGACTCCGACACGCGGTAGTCTCCATAGACTGTCAAAAAATGAGAAGCGCAAAGCAAATGGAAACCGGGTCTTGAAAAAGTGCCGTGTTTGTTGCAAAGAAGGAAAGCGTAAAGAGACTGTGTTCATTTGTGCCGTGTGTCCCGGTGAGCCGGGCCTCTGCGAACTCCGGTGCTTCGACAAGTTCCATGAGGATGTCGATGAGTAACCCTAAAAACAAAATAGCGGTGGGTGGGGATGTATAATTTAATGTACATATTTTGTAATATTTATGTTTTAGTTGTATATTTTATTATTTCCATACAAAATTCATTTTTTTGCCTATATAGTGTACTTATAACAAGTTTTTGAAAACATTTTGTGATTGATATTTCAGAAAGCTAAATAGACTGGTGGTGGGAGGGGCGGTAAATTTATTTGTTATACAAATATTAATTTTATAAGAATTAGTGAATATAAAAAAACTATTTACCGTGGGGCTGAAATATAGTTACGGGTTGGACAAAAACCAGCATCGGTAATTAAAGACGGGAATTCCCGCCCCGGAAGTTACCTCACCAATTTCACCCAAAATCGAAACTGAGACATCTAGGTCCATAATTTGGATACCCTGACATAATTTTTGAGTACTGTAAGTAATCACATTACTGTATATGTTTTCACGTTTTATAGGATCGCAACAATCATTACCTCTAGCTCATAATTATCAGCTCTCAAAGTGATGTCAATTGTAATTAACATCTTATTGCCTTTTAACATCCTTTCAAATCCCAGTTAAATTGTAAGCAAAAGACGAAAGAGTTTAGGGAAATTTATTTAAATTGCCTACGTTTAAGATTCAAGGCCTCCTTTAATCTATGGTTTATCGAACACCTATAGCTACTACACCGGCGCTTCGCAATGGGAAAAGGACGTAGAACGGTGAGAACGGTGGAAGGGAGTAATTTAATACATGCTGCATAAAAGAGAGACACCTATCATTGATTTTAGAATCGCTTAGTTTGATTATTTTATTTATCCCTAATACGGTATAGTGACGTTGGTGCGTTTTTAGAAATACTGGGTGTTTATGATTAAATTTAGAATCAACCGCTCTCTTAAATATGAATATATAAACTACATTGTACTTATATTTGTATATTTACCTGTTTTTATTTGTATATTTGTACTATACCTTGGTGTAGCAATAAAACCAATATTACTTTATACTGACGTCACACAAAATAGACACGTCACAAACATTCTTTGATTTTGGTATATCCAACGATCACTTGGTAAAACTTACCTAATAATGAGGTATAACCAACGACCACTTGCTATAACTTACCCAATTATGAATTAAAATAAGTAGTATACTTTTCAATTGACGATAAAAAATATATAACAATAAAATGGCTTTATACCTTGTTAATAGTATTTTTTTTCTCTTTCCAGACGGAATACTTCCTCGAAAAGGACAGAACAAAAGTGAGCCCGAACTGTAAGTACTGTACTTTAATTTTGTAGGTATTGAAATAATTGTCTCCATTGTGCCTCCAGGAATGATACAATCTTACTTTAAATGAGCGAAATGAGTGAAGCTCACGTCGACTCTTATGCATTCCGCAATACGAAAGACAGCTGAAGCAATCATTCTTAAATTTCTCATGGTGATAAAGGCCATATCGGTAAGTGCTAACAACCATATGGTGTTAACAAATTCACCAAGGAATCCGCCCCACGGGCCGTCAAAGTTTCAATGTAATCCTTATGGAAGCTGTGTTTGACACAAAAACAAATTAATGCTGTTGACTTAAAGGAATTATTGTAACTGTTATCAAAGATATTAGAACAGAAACGGTATGGATCATAAACACACGTCATGACGTCACTAATAATAACATACGGTACAATAATAACATTAACATAATGGTTTGGTCGTTTTTTACAGTTGATTAAAATAAGAATACATACATGTTTGCTTTTGGGACGTAATTTGTTTATATGATTGATAGATATGTTGCTTTTCAAACCCAAGATTTCCAAAAGAACGTCTGATGAGAATAAACAAAAGCTCAGTCTAGAGGAAATTACTATTCGATGATCATCGTTTCTTGTATTAAATTCATGTTGAATTGTTAAACTAAATATATACGTCTATTGGCTGGTTAGTTTTTTTTAGTTCTTGATTTCTTGGATATAAAATAATGGCTGTTATATCTCCTAGTCTGTTATGATGAATATTAACTTTGAACTAATTGATTTGTCATTGTCATATGGTTTGGTTTTGTTTTGTTGTTGTCATAATAGTTAAATACGAGCGTTTGAAAATAGAAGTGTGGTATTAAAAAGTCTATTTTTTTTCTAATTTTATCTTTACAGTTTTCATCACTTGAAGAAGGTAGGTGTGTAGTGAAAATCGACATCTTTAATGTTTTCTTTTCTATTTTTATCAACACATAAAATTAAAAATTAAACTGTTATTCAGTTATCAGTTATAAAAATTTTAGGTTGAATGTAATCATCCGTACCGCCCTGTTTGAAAAATGTAAATGTTATACCATCCCAGAGGTTTTAAGCTTAAAACGTAAATCAGGGTCTCAAAAATGCATAATGATATCTCTGTGTTATTGACAAATTGTTTCTATTCGCTCGAAAATAATTGTGTAACTATTTTAATAACCCTAAAAGTTTATCCCTGCACACACGTTTCTCTAGCTGAAATTGTTGGTAAAAATTATTTTGAAGTTTGATGGTGAGGGTCAATGGCCCTGAAACTCCGCTCAATGTTGTGGACGCATCTGCGAATGCCACAAGTGTGGGTGCATCTGTCAGCTGACTGTCGAGTTACCGGGTGTCGAATTAGTGAGGTTTATTGTAACAATAACATTAACATTGTTTGGATAGTGAAGTGGACATATTTGTTTGTGTTTACGCCATCGGCATTTTTTACGTGTAACTATCAATGACTTTTTGTTAGATATAATTTAATTCAATTCCGACGATGGAATATATAGAATACTTACAGAAACAAGTATGGGAGTATGGGCCCACAATTTGATCTAGTTTGGAATCGAACCAGCGATTTGAAGGCGAGCACAATAAACTCTAGTACCCATAATCAAATCGTTTTACATAGTTAAATGGACCTCTTGATTTTTGTGATACTGTATCGTCAAAATTCTTTTTTCTCACTAGCTTTTCATCTTGATTTCAAACTAGCTACATCTCGGGTCTGAGACGTCTGGACTACTTCTATCAATAGTCAAAGGTTGTAGTTACTTTGAGGGGGACGCGGAAAGGTCGCCCCCGGAAACATCACCCCCCTACGTCATAATGACGTCAGAGACTGGGGGGTGATGTTTCCGGCCGCGGACACTCAATTTCAGTTGCAGCATGCACTCGTCGATAAGACGAGTTATTTTTGAGTTTGAGCATTAATTAGATAATTATATTCACTTATCATATACAATTACCAGATTTTCTAATTACAATAATTGATGTTAACCGGATACGTTAACCCCGATCGTTTTCAAAATGCACACCCCGGAAAGGTCCCCCCCTTCCATGATCACCCCCGGTATACCTGCTGTAGGGCTTGGGCTCGTGACTCGAGCCAGCTATTGTTCACAAGGGTAGAGACTGTCCCATATTACCACCGTTCGACTGAACTCGCAAGAATGGGAAGTATATGGCATTATTACGCAAATGTTGTGGATATTAAGATAAATACAAATTAACACTTTGATATTGTGCTTTCTCTAGACATTTCCCCTTAATTTTATACATCAAATGATGTGTAAATTACATATAGTTTTTTTTCCGTCAACGCATGAAATGTATTTGAAACACGTGGAAATGAAATAAAATGTTTATAGTAATAGTAAAAATTAAGTAAGGAATCAACTCATATTAATATGAGCCTGCTTCAACCACTCAACATCATAATACAGTACACACTTGACAAACATATTTTCACATTTCCTAATTCTAATTCTTAAATTGTAAACATTGAGCAATAAATGATGTATAAATAATTGTCTGGATTTTATACTAAAATAAGTGCATCGAGAATATTCCTGACTTGATATTGGCGAAGGACTCTTTCCCGTAAAAAGAATTTAGAAAGTAAATATTGGTTAGTTTCTTCGGCAATAAACAGGAAAAAGCTCACAATGTTTACGTTTGCGTTGATAGAGAAGTAAGCAACCGTGTCACATTCCCTTTATTTCATGATTTCACATTGCTGATATTAAATAACTAAATTGACATTGAAGTAGTACAGTTATTCCATGAACGGTCGCCCATTGTTTTGAAAATTACACATTTAAATCTACCTGTAGTTCGCAGAATATTAATACGTATTTAACTTAAAAGTTTGCAAGAGAACATAATCCTAAGTATAGTATCCACTATTCTCAGAGTATTGATTTATGGAATTCGTCTGTAATTTGCATTGGGCTTTAAATAAATGATCCTAGCTAATGAAACAGCTGATCTTAGTCAGTAACAAAGCTACACAGATCATCTCACACCATTCTACACTCATATTTGGGTTAAAATACGCACCTAGGTGGCGTCCCCATATCAATTGATATTGATATTGATATATATTGAACTAATGTTATTTAAATAGGGAATAAATGTGATATTTTTACAGAGACATTTTAGCGTAAATCCAATCAGGCAAATGGAAATTCGCTTAGTCTGCAGGTTTGCTGTGGCGGGGGTATTTTTGATTAAAATTGGCACTTTGTGATACATTAATTGGAATATATACGAATTTTACTATCGTTTAAGCGATGTAATACAAGTTTACAGCTCAACATTTACTCACGTATATTTTCCCCTTAGTAATTATGAAACATAATTTTGCAAACTTCAGTAGCAAAAAGGTTTTCTAAACATATACATCTTATAACAAAACTAATTTATTGGTATATCAACACTGATTGCAAGTCCTCTTCTCGATTTAAAGTGATTCTGATATTTTGATTATACTTTCATTATATTTTGACTCTATTCCAGTGATATGAATCTAGCCTAGGCTGTTTCTGAATTAAGGTACTTTTTGGCATAACCTTTAGAATAGTATCATTTACATATTTGTAATTACTAACAATTAATTATTTAGTTAAATTTAAGGGATTAATCCCCTAAAAGATATTATTATGTTTATTCTTATTTAATAATCTGTTTCTAATTTTCAAATTATGAATTAAATCGGGG